CCATATACTAGCTTGAATGTTTATATTATGAGTGGCATTTTGAATGTTGTTCGGTAATCCCACAATGCGTTATCAAGCTTTGGTGACCAATCTTTGTGATTGGGGTTGATCACTTTCTCAAGAATCTGTTAGTTCTCGCGATTAGAAACCTCAGCCTGCCTATTAGTCTGTAGATGATATACAGTAGCAATTTTGTAACGCACCCCATATCTTTTCAGCGCATTGGCAATTAATTTGTTGTCAAATTGAGTACCTTTATCGCTGATAATTGCTCGTGGTGCCCCAAAATGTATGAATATATTATTGTTTAAAAATTTCAACACAATCTTGGAATCATTACGAGGTGTGGCCACGACTTCAACCCATTTGGAAACGTAGTCTACTGCCAAAAGTATGTAAATATCACCAAAGGACGAGGGGAAATGCCCATAAAATTGATCCACATAAATGAAAGAGCTCAATTTCCAAAATGTTTTGCCATGGGATCTCATTTCTCTTCGATGTGCTCCCAGTGCGCTTACAACAATCACATGACTTATAGAATTCATATGAATCCTTGAACAATGTGGTGCAGTAGAAGCCATATTGAAGGACCTTTGCAGTAGTCCTCATCCCACCAAAGTTCCCTCTACACGGGGATGAATGGTAATGAAATAAAATCTCCTTATGTTCTTCTTCAGAGACGCACCTATGGATTATTTGGTCTCCATATTACATTAATAGGAATGGTTCATCCTAGTAATAGTGGCGTACATCATGTCTGAATTTTTTCATGCCTTGGTTAGATAAATCTGGAGGCATAACACCACTAACAAAAAAGTTAACTATGTCAGCATACCACGGCACAGCTGTGGAAAATAAAATTTTCTCGTCATGGAAATCCTCACGAATATCCTTCATGTCATGACAAATGTTTTTGTTCTCTAGCCTAAATAAGTGATATGCTACTTGGTTTTCAGTACCCTTCCTATCCTTTACATCTAAATCGAATTCTTGTAATAATAATATACATCTAATAAGCCTAGGCTTTGTATCTTTTTTATTAACTAAGTACTTAATATCGGAGTGATCAGTATGTACGATTTCCTATAAGATATGGCCTAAACTTATCAAAAGCAAATACCATTGCAAGAAATTCTTTTTCAATGGTGGTATAATAAAGTTGCGTATCATTAAGGATACAACTAGCATAATAGATGAAATGGAAGATTTTATCTTTTTTTTGCCCTAACACTACCCCTACCACATAGTCACTTGCATCGCACATTAGCTCAAAGGGGCATCCTAGTAATGTGGTACAACAATTGGTGTTGAGGTGAGTTTTTTCTTCAGATCAATGAATGTATTGAGGCATTCATTGTTGAACACGAACGATTAATTCTATTGAAGTAGCAGACACAAAGGCTTTGAAATCTTTGAAAATCTTTGATGAACCACCTGTAGAATCATACATGCCCTAGGAAACTTCTTATGCCCTATACAGTGGTGGGTGGAGGTAAATTCTTTATTACGTCCAGTTTGGATTTATCCACTGCGATGGCTTATCAAGAAATTTTGTGTCCCGGCACAATTCCTTCGGTCACCATAAAATGACATTTTCCCAATTTAGCACAAGGTTGGACTCCTCGTATCGCTTAAGCACTTTAGATAAATTATCGAGGCATCGATCAAAGTCATTGCCCAAGATGGAGAAGTCATCCATAAATATTTCCATGAAGTATTCCACCATATATAAGAAAATGGCCATCATACACATCTGAAAAGTTGTCGGAGCATTACATTGTCCGAGCGACATTATTCTAAAGGAGTAGGTACCATACAGGTATGTGAAGGTGGTCTTTTCCTGATCTTCAGGTGCTATGGTGATCTGATTGTATCCAGAATATCCGTAAAGAAAACGGTAAATTGCCTTACCTGCTAACCTATCAAGCATTTGATACATGAAAGTGAGAGGGAAATGGTCTTTCTTTGTTGCCTTGTTGAGCTTCCTGTAATCCATGCATATCCGCTAGCCCGTGATGGTTATTGTAGTCAAAAGCTCATCATTATCATTTTAAACCATGGTCACGCCACCCTTTTTTTGGCACGCATTGCACTGGATTAACCCATGAACTATCAAATATTGGATAAATCACTCTAGCATCCAACCATTTTATGATTTCCTTCATCACCATTTTTTTCATTATTTTTGTCAAGTCTCCTTTATTGTTCCACATAATTGATATGGCTATCTTCTAATTGGATCTTGTGCATGCATATTGTAGGGTTGATTCCCTTTAAATCTGCCATGGTCCACCCAAGAACTTTTATGTGTTGTGACAAAACATTCAACAAACTTCCCTCTTTCTCGTGGGTTAGACTAGCAGAAATTATAATAGGTAAAGTTTCATCACTACCTAAATAAGCGTACTTCAAATGTGATGGCAAAGATTTAAGTTCTAAGGTAGGCACATGTTGTAGTGAAGGTTTTGGAGGAATATATTCATTAAAATGAAGTGGGTTCAAATCTCATACTTGGTCTAGCTTGAAGTAAACTAGATTGTTCTTCTTCTAATGAATTTTTCTCAGACTGTACGAGGTATGCTCTCAATATGTCTTTCATCTACTCTCAGAAGAATTTCGTTGTGGTAACAAGTATTGTGTTTCTCATTTTTTAAAATATCGTCTTGGCAAAAAAAAATTAACAGCCGTCATTCTCAAGAATTTTGTCTTGGCAAAATTTATCATACTCATCAAGATGTAAAAATTTGCCTTGACCAGAATTTTCTGTTCCAGCTTCTTCCAATGAATCAATGTCTTCAATGTAATGGAATTCGTCAGAATCATCAACGTATTTAAGAGTGTTGAAGACATTGATTATGACACTTTGATCAACCACCCACATCGTGAACTCTCCATTCTCATAATCTATTATAATACACGCAGTAGCTAAGAATGGACGTCCAAGGATAATAGGGAGATTTTCATCGGCTTCACAATCTAGAGTGAGAAAATCAACTAGAAAATACAAACTTGTCCACTTTAACAATAACATCTTCAATTCTGCCCTCGGGACGAACATATGATTGATCAACTAGTTGTAAAATAATTGTGGTTGGTCGAGCATTTCTTATTCCAAGCTCTTTTTGCTTCGACAGAAGTTTATTCATTACCAAACAATGTTATGTTCATATTAGAATACACGTAGTAGCTAAGAATGGACGTCCAATGTTAATAGGGAGATTTTCTTATTCATATTTTGTTATACAAAACTGCCAAGATCTTTTTGCTTCGACGGAAGTTTATTCATTACCAAACAATGTTATGTTGTCATGGCAACAATTTCTATTCTTTCCACCTTTCACTTCTTTGTGAAAATGTCTTTCAGAAATTTGGCATAGGAAAGCATCTGCTCAGTGACTTCAAGTAATGGAACATTGATATGTAGCTAATCAAGGAAATCAACAAAATTTATGAATTGATTCTCGTCATTATGTTTCTTCAACTGTATAGGGAAAGGTGTTGGGGGTCTAACTTCATATGCTACAAGTGGTGTAGCAACTTTTGCCTTGGAAAATAATTTATCACCATTAATGTGTTAACTTCTCGAACTCTAGTTTATTTCATTCTTCTTAGCTAGTTTTACGTGTTCATCAATCTCAGCTTGATTTTCAAGTTCTTCATGTGTGGATCCTTGGCTAAAATTTTTTGGTTTCTCTCCCCCAAACTTATCATCAAGATTAATCTGAGTACCACTCCTCAACGTGAGTGCACTGCATTTCTCCTTTCTAGGAGGCGTAGTGACTTTAGTGTCACTAGAGGGAGACTTCCTTATGGTCGCGAATGTAATGCCGTGGAAATTTATCCCACTTGATTCTCAGTGCCCTTAACGATGAGCTATGGCTTTGTAATAAAGGTGCTTGGATTTGCAACATATTTCCTTAATTCTTTATTGTTTATGAATGTTCGTGTATCAAGGTCTTTGTTGAAACCATGAAATATTTTGTTGAAGACATAAATTCATGCAATGAAGCTTCAAGAGTGTTAGAGTTTGAAGAAGATGTGTTACTTTTATTATTACCTTGCCATGATATCTATTGATGTTTTGAACTTGAGTGTTCAGAAACATTTTGTTGTGATCTATTAAAATTGCCTGTATAATTATTATTATTATTCCCTTGATTATCCCATGAAAAAATTGGATGTTGTCGCCATCCAGGATTGTATGTATTGGAATAGGGGTTGTTGTTGTTGCTTCTATTGAAGTTGCCCACGAAGTTGATGGACTCCAAGTTTTCTGGGAATTCACTCTCATGATGATTTCCTCGGCATAAAATGCATGTCGAGTTAGTAGCCTTGACTTCTTTCACTTCACTAGAACTCTGCAAAATTTTAAGTATGTTAGTTATAGAAGAATGTTGGGCAGAAACTGAATCCTTACTGTCAAGTTCATACGCCCCATATATTCTTCTACCGATTCTAAACCTTGCAGACGAGAATTGATAGTCATTATTGGCTATCCAATCAGGGATATCAAAGGCTTCCTCTGATGATTTGTGGAACAAAGTTCAATTTGCCAATGCATCTAACATCATGCGAGTAGGTGCATTGACTCCGTTGTAAAACATCATGACTTGAGTCCAGTCATGGATATGTGGTTAGTGCACTTGCGAATCAAGCTTTTATATATGTCCCAACATTCATACATAGATTCCTCATCGCCTTGGAGAAAACTTGAAATGTCATTGCGAAGTTGGGTGTGCATGTTGGGCGGGTTGTAGAGAAGCAAAAAACTTTTGCATAAGTCAGCCCAAGATTCCATTGATCGAGAAGAAACTCCACTAAGCCAAGCTCTTGCTCAGTCATATGGAGAATAAGGTAATAGTTTAAGGTTCAGCATATCTTCATGCACTCCTTGTTGCATGAACGAACCGTACACTTCAAGGAAGACACGAACATGATGTTTAGCATCCTCAATAGGTGAGCGACCTAATTAACCGATGGAGTTTAGCATGTTGAATATCACCATTTTAAGTTCAAAATGGTTGCCTGTATTTCAGGTGCCACTATTCCAGGGTTGAGATCTTTAAGAATCAGATTCAATTGATCTCATATTGCTTGTGGTCTTGTAGTCTCTCTAGGAAGATAATTTGTAGCGACATCGAGATCTGTCTGATCTCCCATATTACTATCATCTTGATACTACAGTCGATTCATACAATCTCTGGCACATTGGTTACGTCGCCTTTGTCTGAATGACTGTTCAATCCTAGGGTCAAATGGTTCTAATGGTTCATTAGTAGATCTCAGGGTCATGCAATGAAAAAAACCTTCAACATAAAATATGAAAAATAAACAAGTTAAACTAAATAAAATAAAATGTGACAAGAAATAAAAATTTGTTATGGCATAAATTATCAAAATTCCTTCAGTTGCCAATCTCCGGCAATGGCACCAAAAACTTGATCGCTTGTGAATATATGTTCTAAGGCAAGAAAATTTGTGTAAGTATACACAATAAATGCAAGTAATATAGTAGTATGTAGAGTTATCGTCTACTCAGGGATTGGTGGGAATTGTTGATGTTTTCCTATAGCTAGAACTAGGTATCACAAACTAGTCCTGAAATTCTTATCGAAACTAAAACAAGTAATATTAAAGGAAATAAATTAATGTGAAAGCACTGTCTAGGCAAGAAATATTATGAAGTATGGTGTATAGAAAAGTTTATTCGAGGTAAGGAAAAATGTAAAAGTAAATAAATCAAAATTATTAAGGCAAATTAAAAGTGTTGGGCTCAATATATTCAAAGAAACCTCACACAGACATACTTCTTTACGGAGCACTTAGGTTGATTTTGCTAAGGCAAAAAGTTAATCTATGTCTAGAATGACTTAGTGTTCTATGTTTAAGTTACTCTACAGGATTACTAGAGTATTCAAGAACGGTTGTTATAGCAATACTACTCGGCGTAAACTATAAACTTTGGTTTGTCAAACTATTGTTGCATTGATACCCCTCAGTGTAAACCGCATTATTTGTCTATTCTACTTAAGTAACTACCCTTTTAGTTGAATGAAACCCTCTCTTTATCTCTAAGAAGGATTAGTACCTCACCATCCCGGATCAGTCCTATTGTTCATGTAGATCTTCCCTAATTCTCTCGATATTAGGCATATATTCCTAAAATAATGGAAATCTCTTTAAAGCTCTTACAAAGTCTATGAATGTTTTGCCTAGGCACCAGGCAATCTCTCAAAAGCTCTTACAGTGTCAAGGAAAAATATTAAAATGATGAACAAAACAATATTAAGCATAAACAAACTTCTTCATTCAAAAACAAAAAACAATGTTTCATCAAAACCATAACCAACACCAAGTAAAGTAGTTCATGGTGCGAAAAATATCATCCAAGAGTTAAACATTAAGTACAAGCCCTTTAAGCGAGTCAGAAATTAAGAACTAGGGAATAAACACTCCCAAACAGAGCTTTGCCGTGACATTCTGACCACCACCACACCTGCTCCAACGGCCAACCTCTCTCAAGGTCCTAGCCGCTGCTCTGATATAGCCTGACTATGGAGGGTACCAAGGAAAGTCGAGTGGGGGAATGGTGGAAAACAAGGTGTTTCAGCTGCTTATTCATCGCCTAGGGTAAATTCTCTTCTTCCTTTCTCTGTTGGGCAACCATAATGAGATATTTATAGTGGGAATTTATAGGGTTTTGTGTCCTTTTAAATTCCCTAAATACCCTCGTTAACTTACCCATGTTATTAATGGAAAGGCGGCTAGAAGTGGACAATTTTCTTAAAGGGCGTGATTGCACGTAAGGATTAAGCTTGGGCAAATGACGTCAGTAGTTGTTGAGCCACGTCAGATCTGTAAGATAAATCTTACCTTGATAAGATAAATATGTTCCTCACCGTTATCTTCTTATGTTCCTCTAGCCCTAGGAAATAGTTTTTATCTCGGCAAATAAATTCTTACTTAGTTATTTCCTGTATCAGCATAGACAACAAAGAACATTCCTTGTCAGCAGCATCAGTTAAGCCAAATAAATCTTGCCTAGGCAAAACTTATCCACCACATGTAAATATGACCTAAATGCAACTAAAATACCATGACAACGACTTTTAGACAAACAATAACTTAAGTAAAAAGACAGAAAGCATATTCTTTTTATAGAGTTATCAGTTTAGATATTGAGTTTAGTTATAAACTTTATGATCCATTTCAGAAGAAGCTCGTGAGAAATGGAGATGTTATCTTTATTGAAGATCGGACCATTGATGACATTGATAAGATGGAGAAATCAAATTCACAAGATAGTGGTGACTTGATCGATGTGAATCCGGTTCCCCTAGACCCTTCACCAGATCTTATTCAGAGTGATCTGCATGATGATTTTAATGATGACCAGCAAGATACAAGTTACTTTGATGCTTCAATGGATGATGTTATGAATTATTAACAACAAGCACCTATAGCTCCACCAGCAATTCTACTTCGAAGGTTTTCTAGATATCGACAATCTTTTATCATGTATTATTCTGATGAGTATGTTCTTTTAACTTACGGGGGAGAACCTGAATGTTATGATGATGCTATGGAGAGTGAATGTAAAGATCAGCGGGTTGAAGCGATGAAAGATGAACTTCAAGTTTTGCATGAAAACCGTACATTTGAATTGGTGAAAGTGCCTAATGGTAAAAGAACTTTGAAGAATCAGTGGGTTTATAGGCTGAAGCGAGAAGAAAAGTCTTTATATACATGATACAAAGCTAGATTGGTCGTCAAGGGTCATACTCAGAAAAAAGGGGTTGATTTTAAAGAGATATTTTCTCCGGCTGTGAAGATGTCTTATATCATAACTATACTTAGTTTGACAACTTGTTATGACATAGAGATTGTACAAATGGAAGTGAAAATTGTGTTTCTTCATGGTGACTTGGAGGAATAACTTAACATGGAGCAGCTAGAGGGATTTTTTGTACAAGAGAAAGAGGAACATGTGTGCATGTTGAAGAAGAGCTTATACGGTTTGAAGCAAGCTCCTAGGCAATGGTACAAGAAGTTTTAGTCTATTATGGGGGAGCAAGGCTACAAGAAACTACTTCTGATCATTGTGTACTTGTTAAGAGATTCTCTGACGATGATTTCATTATTCTTTTCCTCTATGTTGATGATATACTTACTGTTGGTTGTAATGCTTCTAGAATTGAGAAGTTGAAGCATGAGTTGAGTAAAGACTTTACGATAAAGGATTTGGGGTCATAAAATAAAATTCTTGGCATAACATTAACAAGCGATAGAAAGGCCAAGAAATTATGGTTATCATAGGAGAGGTACATTGAGAAGGTACTTCAAAGATTCGGTATGGATAAAGCTAAAGAAATGAATACTCCCTTTGCTACGCATTTTAGATTGAGTGTTAAGCATAGTCTTTCAACAGAAAAGGAGAAGGAAGAGATGCAGAAAGTTCCTTACTCTTCAGCAGCATGTAGTTTAATGTATGCGATGGTATGCACAAGATCAGACTTGGCTTATATTGTTGGTACTTTAGTCAATTTATTTCTAATCCACACATGAGCATTAGAATGTAGAGAAGTGGATCATGAGATATCTCTGTGGTAGTTCCAACTTGAAACTTTGTTTCGGCATTGAGGAACATGTCCTTGTTGGATATAGAAATTCATATATGGCTTGAGACATTGATCTGAGGAGATCTAATTTAGGTTATTTGATTACTTATGCAGGGATATCTATGGCATGAAAATCGACATTGTAAAAATGTTTTTGCATTGTCCACCACTAAATCAGAGTTCATTACTGCAACCGAAGCATGTAAGGAGATGCTTTGGATGAAGAAGTTTGTGCATGAACTTAGTTTTACTATGAAGAGCCATGTCCTATATTGTGATAGACAAAGCACGATTCACTTGGTAAGAACTCAACTTTTCATGCTAGATTTAAGTATATTGATGCGAGGTACCATTTGACATGAGATATTCTTGAAGCTAAGCTGTTAGAGCGTGATAAGATACATACTGATGATAATGGTGTTGATATATTGACGAAAGTCTTACCAAGAGGGAAGTTTGAAGTATGTTTCTTGTTCACCGGCATGAAGGCATTCCCTACATAGTTAGAGGGAGATTTGTTGGGTGTGGGCCTCACTATGTGGGAATCCCATCACCCATGAACCCACAAAAATAGGTTGTTTACTTTTTCCATTTTTTAGTTTTGGTGAAAAACTTCTACAACCTTTTAAAAGTACTATTTGATTTTTGTAAAAAGCTAAACTTTGGTTTGTGTGTGAGCAACATATAGCAGAAAAATTAGATTTGATTTTTAATGAAAGAGAGAACCTTCATATGAGAGAAAAAAATAGTGGAGAAAAACAAAATTTTAAAGTTTGGTGCAAGAGTGATCAACTCTTTGATAGGAGGTCCATCCGTGGTTTGATTGAGCTGATTTTTGGCTAACAACTATATGATTTGGAGTTCTTGAGTTTGTACGATCGGATTTTTTATTCGAGTTTTGTAACGACATGAATCATCAATTTTTAGCAGTTGCATTTTTGGTGATGTTCTCCCATTTTCTCTCTTTTTCTAAAAATTACATGTTGTTAGCCTTGTTGGAGTTGAATGCTTGTTGTAGGCTCAATATTGTGATCTTGTAGTTGAACTTTTGATGATAGTGAAGCTTTTGATCTGACTCTAATTTTTATTTTCCATGTAAAAATGTCAGTGTCTTGATTTATTTGTATTCTGATTGCATTGGTTGATTTATGGTTGATTAGTGTTGCTAGAGAATATATGTTGTGCTATAGTGCTTACCATAATTTTTTACATGAGTTATTGGGGAGAGAAAGAATATTGGTTGTGCTTTCGCTTGGGTTTGGTTGTTCGGTCTCTTCCCCAACATCAAGTTTCATAGGGTTGATTTTCTTTATGTGTAATATTAGCCTGTAGTAATAAGTTTTCTGTTTCTTTGTTTCCTTAACTGTATTCATTAGTTTTTTTCCATTTCTTGTTTCTTGGCGTTATATAATTGCTTTGCATTTTCATGCGAGTATAGTGAAGATAATGGCTAATACCTTGCATTTGTAAAGTTCCCCATCCTTTGAGGTAATTTAATAAAAGATTATAACAATTGGTGTTGGCTTTCTTTCCCTTTCGTTCTTAATATTTTTCATGTTATCCCTACCCGACCCATATTTAGACATGGGTATGAAGGATACAAGTATAACCTTTGGAGGTGAGAGCTTTTGTACCCTTGTTTTGAGCTCATCAGATAGACTGTTAGAACAGCAGAGCTGTCAAGTAAAGAAATATTTTTTGACAGAATTTCAGTTGCTAACTATTTTTTGTTTCTCATTGTCAGGGTCGACCTTGGGCCAGGGCAGTAGGGCATCTATCCAGGGCCCACAAATTAAATTTTTTTAGTATAATATTTTTTATAATAAATTAAAAAAACTATAAAATAAAATAATGGGACTCATAAATTTATTAAAGTGTCAAATGTTGTCGTTACTTTTTTATGTTAACGTTAATAAGTTTTTCTTACCATAAAATTCTGATTCAATATTTCTTTCATAAAATTTTAAAAAAAAGCAACTGAATCTCTTTAATTTTGGTCCTTCCAAATTCTCTCCATCAATCTACCAAATCTCTTTTCCGATTTATCATATCAATGAAAAATTTTACCAACGTTATTTTTTCTTCGAAACTCAATGAGAGGAAAAAAATTAAATATAATTAGGATGCTTCTTTTATCTTCCATGTTTCACAATTCCTCTAATAATTATTATTTTTATTTTTTTAATTTATCATATTTCTCACAAACATAAATACAAACACAATTGTTTATCATCAATTGTGGTGCTTGAACCATATTGAGCATTGTTCTTAGAATTCTAGGTAGATCATGTTTTCAAATTCTTTCTTTTTATTTTTATATATTTTAAAATTTCAGATAAGAACGTTGTTTTATTTTCAAATGTTATGTTATGTTATGTACTGAGAAAAATAGGTTGGAAAACATTGATATTAACACTATCATCAATAATTTTGAATCAATAAATGTTCAAAGGTAATGCTTTTTGTAAGTATTTGTATGCTTAAATATATTTTCTAATATTTTTTTATATTATAATAAATTATTATTTGTTTAATTTAATAAAAAAATCTAAAAAAATATATTATATATTTTTTAAAGTTTTTAATTTAGGGGCCCATTTTTATAAATTTTCGCCCTGAGTCAAAAAATAATCAGGACCGACCATTCTTATTGTATGCATCTCATCATCATATAATTGTTTTTTTTGTGAATCCAAGTTCCAAATTTTTAGGTTTATGATGGGTCTTTAGCAATGAACCTAAAATTATAAATTCTCACATAAAGGGTATGATAATTTGTTTTTAAATGTATGAATAAGAATTTTGAGATTATATCGAATCATGCTTGAAATACATGAGAGAAAGAGAAAATTATGCAGTTAAATTACATTGGTGAATATGCATATTTCCCAGCATACAATACATAAACGAATAACCAACACTTAAACATGCAGAAAGCAGCTTGGTTTCATGGCTGTTAAATGTCAAGACCTAAATTTTTTTTCCACATATCCTTGAGCTAGTCTTTGTTATGTTCTGACTGATTTAATCCTATCATTTTCTTCTTTAAACTTGGCCCCTTGGACTGCCAACATCATTCACTCTGTAATGGGAGAAAAGATATATCATATGGATCCGTATGTAAACTAAAATAAAATAAAATAAAATTTGAAAAAGGAGAAAATAGATGAATAATGGAAGTGACCTACCTGGCTGTGTCACGGGGAGGAAACAGGACTGCCTGCAAAGAAGAAATGGGCCATTTTCTCCTCAGCCATATCTCTGAGTTCAGAAAGCAATGGTAAGATTTCTTTCCCAAGATCTGGTCTGTCTTTACGCCTAAGTTCGGCACATTGAAGAGCCAGCTTTGCCAATGCCATCGTTTCTTCTTCCGGCCAATCCGTCACTGCAGGGTCAGCCATCTCCGTAAAAAATGTGCCTCGCTCGATTGCTTGCTCCACATAGTGAGTCAGTCCCATCGGTTGCTTCGCTGTTATAAGTTGAAGAAGCAATATCCCTAATGAGTATATGTCTGATTTCACCCCAAGCACTCCTGTTTGCTGATATTCCGGGTCGATGTAGCAAAACGTACCCGCTGCTGAAGTTATATGCACTTGTGTCATGTTCTCAGCAACAGCTGGTACGAGCCTAGCTAATCCGACATCACCGATCTTGCTAACATAGTTATGATCAAGCAAAATGTTGGCAGGCTTGAGGTCACGATGCACGATTGGCTCAGGCTTTGTCTGATGGAGGAAAAGCAGGCCTATGGCTATATCTGCAGCTATTCGGAATCGGATTTGCCAAGATAGCGCGGGGGTGTTACCTTTCCGAAATATGCAATCTTCTAAGCTTCCGTTGCTCATGTATTCGTAGACTAGAATGCCATACTCGGGACAAGCACCTAGAAGAAGCACCATGTTCGGATGGCGTATGCAGCTCAGTACTTCAAGCTGCGCAACAATAATCATACACCAACATGTTGCTTCATATTGTATGCATGGGAAGCAAACAACGAAGCACATAAACTACATAGTTGCTTACCTCTTGCAAAAATTGTAATCTCCCTTGAGCTGCATCTGGTCGTAAAATCTTGACTGCAACCTGTGTATGGTCAAGATAACACTTATAAACAGGTCCATAACCCCCTTCTCCGATCTTTAGAGATGGAGCAAAGTTCTCGGTCGCTTGTTCGATTTCCTCTATCGTATATCTTCGATATTGGATTTTTCTATTGGATAAAGCCTTGAGCATTTTCGTCATTTCCATTGCTTCTCTTAGAGCCTCCCCTTCTAAATTGGATGGTTTTTGTGATAGTGCAAGTCTCTCTGCGGCTTCAGCTGCTTCAACAGCAGCCTTGCACTTTGCCCTTTCTGCTTCTACAGCCGACATTGCTGCTTCCTCGGCTTGTCTCGCCTCTTCCAATCTTTCTTCTTCTTTGTTCTTGCATCGGTTCAGGTCCATTGCCTAACATTAATATTTCAGTGAACTGTTGTCTACGGATTCACAAACACCAAGTTCTATATGCATTTTCATTGGACATGGGTATCGGATATAAATAGTACCTGTTGTTTTGCTGTCAAGGCTTCTCTACATGCGTTACTGTACAAATCCATTGTTTGCTTAAGTTCTTGCCTCAATCTCTTCATTTCAGCTTCAACCTCATCCTATTTGTTTTTAGATTTTTATTTAAATATTAATAATTATATTACGGCCAAGGTGATCGACATGGGGCGTATTTAGACAAACATACCAGATTTTGAGATGAACAAGACGTCCTGGAACTCTCGTGTGACATTTGTGGATCAGACCACCTGATCCCTAAAGGTATGGATCCTATGCTGTAGTCGGTGCTGCAGGACAACCGTGAATGTCTGCTTGAATCGAGGAATGAATCGAAGAGCAAGGAGGAGTTGCGATCGGTGCTGGGTCTGTCCGAGCTGACGAATGAGATATCCGTATCTGATTCGGGGAAATCCCCAAAGGCTTTCATCAGGCTCGCCCTCGTACCCGGCAATGAGGACTTGGAACAACCGTCACATGAAGTAGGAGGGTTGGTCACTTCAGCAGCTGCACATTCAAAACATCGATTCAATATCTGAATGGAAAGAAACGAAAAAAGAGAGGAAGGTGAACCTGCTCTTGGAGGATTCTCGAGAAAATTTTGTTTCTTAATTTGATCTAGAAGCGGTGAAGAAGACGGAGCCGAACGAGAGGCGTTTCGTATGGAAGAGATCTTCCCTTTGTTGATCACATAGACAGTGCAGAAATCTGGTGCTGCTTTGGTTACACAGGTGGGAGTATCCCCCCTGAATTTTCTGCATTTCATACATTCATTCATTTCATATATTCATTCCCACACCTTTTAATATGTCAATCATATTAAGCATACCTCATAAAAGCACCTTTCGAAGGGGCCCCCATAACTAACTTCTCAATTGAAGCCTGAGATACATATTCCGTCAAAGCTTTTACAACATCCGAATCTTCAAGTATCACATCGAGACATTGTATCTGCCACGTAGAATTTGTCTCAATAGTATTTTAAACAAAGCAAACGTGAAAAGCTTAGCAGCAGGTGTAAACTTTACGTCTTTCCGAGTACAAAAGCAATGGAAACTGAGGAACAATTCCTTGGATAGCTTATCCATCATAAATTTCTTATGAACATCTGAGCTTGTTCCACCAACATTATCTGCACCCCGCAAAATGCTATAAGAATCATCGTGTATTTTTGAAATACAAAAAAGGACATGAATATACATACAGATGGGTTTAGTAACATGAATAAGAACAACAGTTCGGCCTCTTGAAACAAGGTGTTCGGTGGCCCATCTTAGAGCATGTTGGCTCCCTTTATCCTTGTCGATGGCCACAGCAACCAACCCGTTGCCTCCTCCTTTCTTGCCTGCACCACCACCTCCTTTTGTGTGCCACATCTTCTATCCCTTTTCTCTCTTAATATTTTTGTCTCCTTTTAAATAATCAGATAATCTAGCCACAACATGAACAAAAACATCTCATTCAATTGTTGTTGTTTTTATTTATTACTTTTTAGTTTCTTCTATTTTGGTTGTCAAATTGGAGGCTAACAAATT